ATGCACATCTGGATTTCAAGGTCACCCCTTGGGGGGTGGGGCTGGGGTGTGAGCTTGTCTCATAACAGAGGCTGGCTGCACTCAGAGACCCGCTTTGTCACCCACCTTGTAACCCGCTCTGGAGGTGCCTTTAGGATGGGGCGGGTACCATGGAGGTCTGACTCAGGTGGCAGGTGCGAGGGTCACCTTACATAATCAGAGGAAGAGCGGGGTGATACGTTCTCATGGTTAAAGTGTCTCCTTCTGGTTTGCTCTGCGCTCCATCTCCTGGTTTTAATTGTCGTGAAAAATTTAAGCAAAACTACAAAATCATTTTCAATCAGTGAATGAATTACACACTTCTGAAGAGACAGGCATGCACATGCTGCCCTAAAGCATATTAATACTACAAGTAAATGTACTTTGGGTTAATTATAACCATAATGGGTTTATATTCCACTTCCCGGTTGTTTTTGTAAACAATGCTTAGATCCTTAATTAAATTTAATTCGCAAATTAGCTTCAGCCCACAGACTCTTGGGAAATGGCTTCAGCGAAGCTGCGGAGGGTCCCGGCTGGAGATAGCCAGTAACTTTGTTACCACGGTGACACCTGGGGAGCCACGGGGACCGATAAGGGCATAACGTGGCGTGTAATTAGACGTCTGCGGGGTTGTGCTTTGGGTCTGAGACCCCCGTGATGTTTACAGGTTCTCTCTCCCCACGGCAGCTCCTCCAAATTTGTGTTTAGGAAAACGGATCTGCTCTGGGGTGGGGGGGGGGAGAATGCTGTCATTGGGGAACTGCTGCCAAAACTAGGAATGAGGCATCTTACTCTCATCTTTCATGCTGGGGGGCTGGCATGCATTCTGTGCAGAGAAGCTGGAAGGTTTCTTCCCTTAAATCTGACACACATCAACTTATCATGAAGCTGGCTGCTTGGGTTCCCCTAGAGGACAGACGGGTAACGTAAGGGATTTAGAGTATTGGAGGCTGCCTCCGAATTCCTGGCTTCCTGAGTTACTGGAGACACATTTAGCTAACCAGCGCTGATGTCCTCTTGGGTTGGGGGGGG